AAACCCCTTGGAAGAGGCAACTTGTGGGAATTCTGGACTTGTGTCTTCTGCTTCTTCTCTGTGAAGGGAAGCTGGAATCCTAGACCAACTCCTGGTACCAAAGCCAAAGAGACTTCTGCCCATCATTGTCAGTTTGTAGTTAATATCTGGCAACATTTAACTTATTCCACCATGTAAATATTAGATTGAGCCTCCTTCTTGGCTGCGTTAAGCAAATATTCACAATTCACACATCTTGAGTTATTCAAGAGGCCTTCCAACTAATAAGATCTTAAAGAAGCATGCCAGGCCCAATTGCTTTGCCATTGGAAGAGGGAGGCCTTTGTGTTTATAGGTTTTTTTCTCCTTTCCCAAAGTAACCAGATAAAAGGATAAAGCCCTTCAGGGCTAACAGGAATGTAAGAGTAATATTACAGGGTGTGGAGATATGGTTTTGCCTCTCTGATGGAGATTCTGTCAGCTCCCATGTGGGAAAATGTCCCGGGGCTGTGTTGAAAGAGGGTAAGAGGCTGTGTGGGGCCATTAGGGGTGCAGATGGGTGGGGAGGGGCGCCTGGCTCTTGGCTAGCTGTCCTTTATGACTGCTTTGCCCTGAGTAAATGGTGTGTCAAAAGCAAATTGTCAGAGCAAGCTGTGAGAGGGCCTCTCACTTGAGTGTTGTTATTCTGTCCCTTCACGTCAACTCCAACTTAAGACAACTCACTTGGAGGGGTTTCTTGGCATGATGTATTCAGAAGAGGAGCACCATTGCCTTCCTCTAAGACTGAAAGAGTGTAACTTGCTGAAGATCACACATGGCTGAATGCAGATTCAACCTCTGAACTCCCAGAATCCACTTGAACACTCAAATGGATAAATCCTAAAGGCTGTTGGGATATGTCATACTATCCCTCTATTCTGCCTTGGTCAGACTACATCTGGAATACTATGTCCGGTCCTGAGGACCGCAGTTGAAGGGAGATGTTGACTCTAAGTTTGAATGAGTCCAGAGGAGGGGGACTGAAATGATCAAGGGCAACTCAAATGAATCGCCCTCCTCTGGAGAACAAGCCCTATGAGGAGCAGCTTAAAAAGTTGCTTCTGGAGAGCAAGCCCTATGAGGAGCGGCTTAAAGAGTTGGGCATGTTTAGCCTGCAGAAGAGAAGGAGAGGAGACATGATGAGGGCCATGTATCAAGATGTGAGGGGAGGTCATAGGGAGGCTTATTTACTTCTGCCCTGGAAACTAGGCTTCAAACTACAGGAAAGGAGATTCCACCTGAACATGAGGAAGAACTTCCTAATGGTTAGGGCTGTTCAGCAGTGGAACTCTCTGTCCCGGAGTGTGGTGGAGGCTCCTTCTTTGGAGGCTTTTAAACACAGGCTTGATGGCCATCTGTCAGAGCTGCTTTGAATGCAATTTTCCTGCTTCTTGGTAGTGGGTTGGACTGGATGGCCCACTGGGTCTCTTCCAACTCAGCGATTCTATGATTCTATTTATGATTCCCTCATTATGGTGTGTAAATCTCTGGGCTCCTGAAGTCTGTGCCATTGGATTGCATATTGTCTGGTTTTTGTCAAGCTGGTATTGCTTAAGGATGGACTGTGTGTCTGATGGTCAACTTTCAGCTCAGCTAAGTACAAAGAGACTTGTCCTCAAGAGGTTGGCCACTAAGTTGGCCACAGCAAGGAACACAGTGACAATGTGAAATAGTTGCAATATGTGTGGGTGGAGGGACTGGATTTATGAAACCGCAAATGTTGAAGGCCAATTGTTTCACCTATTTCTTGTGTTATATATTTACTGGTTTAACTTTTAGGGATAGTTTAATGTCATTAAGTAAGTGTCCCTTCTCTAGGAAGCAGGAGAGGAGCATGTGTTTCCATCCAGAATGGGGCTTCGTACCATTTCCTCCTCTCTGCAGACACTGCAACATAACTGACCTCAACAGAAAACACCATGTCCGCCTTCCCTGTTCTGTCAATGTAGCACCTTTGCAAAAATAACCTAGTTAGAAATAGTGCTCACGTTTGCCTATTTGGGGAAGTAGATGCAAGAAATGCTCTTTGGAAAACTGGAATTAATCAATTTCTTCCTTTAAAAAAAATGTCCCCTTGCTTTATTTTGGCCGGTTGGTTGTTTGTTTTTTTTACACCATTACAGTGTTGAGAAGGTTCTTGCTTGTTTACAAAATCACCTCGACAAAAGGTGACCTGTTCTATGTGCCCTTTATGGAAACCAGTGGCGTTGTAAATTAGAAGATGCAAATGTTTGGGCTCTTTTACTGGTGGTCTTGGGCACTTTCCAGCTGGCCCTGTGGCTGTTTTGGGTTTCTTGGGACAATGTGCAAAAGGCTGTGGGTGGGTTGTGAGTTTACACTTACACTGCCAAGTGCGGAGAGAGGGAATGACTCAACCTTCCCAGAGCAAGTTGGCCCAAGATGGGATGAAGATGGGATAACTATGCAATGACAACTAACTCAGTACGACGGCATTTTGAACAAGGAACGAAAAAGGACTGTGAGAACGGGATCTGATTCTAATTGAGGCGTTGATGACTATATGTGTGTCGTTTGTGTATGTGTGTCTTATTTACTGTCAGTGTTGCCCATTTTTATTGTAAACCGCATTGAGTCGCCGTCTCAGGCTGATAAATGCGGTATACAAATGGAGTAAATAAATAAATAAATAAATAATGAATGAAAACAACTAGTCACGAATGGGGTGGCTTTCTGCGTAAATGTAGAAGCTGGTACTGATTTGTGATACTGTAGTGCAAAAGCTAACGGCCAAAGCAGTCAGTTGTCCACTTATGGCACAGTAGGATGGAGATTGGTAGCTGGCAGCCGGAAACCATTTGGGTGTTCACATGGTTCCCATTTGGCTCCTAAGAGTGATCCTTGCTGCCAAGACCCTCTGCTTGTTATGATTCACTCCTAGAAGTTCCTCCCAAACCAAGAAAGGGGCCCTTTAAGCCTGCTATAAACACCCACAGTGGTTTTGGCCCAACTTCTGTCATTTTACATCGTTGCAGATGCCTTTGTGTAGCAAAGACAGAAGAATGGAAAGGAGTAACTGAGATGTTTCATGAAGGTGGTCCAAAGCTCTGTGTTCCTAGTCATAACAGGAAGGAAAGACTTAGATTGCCTTTTGACTCACGTGGCAAAGAGTCCACAGACCTGGGAGAGAACTCTTTGGTCCTCCAAATTTTTGAGATGTAGCTGTTGTTAAGTGCCATCAAGATGACTTCAGCTTATGGTGATCTTATGAATGAGAGACCTCCAAGTTACATCAACAGCCCTACTCAGTTCTTGCAAACTAAAGGGGGTTTCTTGTTGCCTTCTACTGTGTTGTCTTTTCTCACTAGTCATATCTTCTTGTTATATCTCTAAAGTATGATGGTCTCATCTTGGCTTCTAAGGTGGGTTTTAGAACCCATTTATTGGTCACGTTTCATGACCATCCACAGAAATGGGAAATACAATGGCGTGCATAGACTATCCAGACTCTAGTGTTCAATGGTATATCTTTATAACCAAGAGTCTTGTCCCGTTCCTTTTTGACTGCCTTTCCCAGTCCTATCTTCTGATTTCTTGACCTCAGTCTCTGTTCTGGGGAGATTATAGAGATTTGGGGTGACAACTGCCTGGGGGCTTCTGGAAGTTGAGGTTCAGGTCAACTGAATTTCCAGAGGTTTTCATTCCTTCGTTGGCCTTCATTCAATGCAAAGCATAGTCCCAGTTTTTAAAAACATGCGCACGGAAAGTAGCTTCCCTCAGGGCATTTATAGGAGTCGGCTGGTGTGATAATTTTACTGAGTAATAGTAAGTGTATAATATTAACTGTGTAACACCTGAATTGGGGCTTTTAAAACTTTGCCATCGCAAGAAGGCTTTTCTTTCCTTCTGTTGTAGTTTATTACTATATTGTATGATCCTCATAACTCCAGCGGATACATTCCCAGACTTTGCATGGATGTGTAAAACTGTGGGTAATAGCAAACCCTATTATTTTCAATGCAATGAAAAGGGATATCAAGAAGAGGTACAGGAGGCTCTACACGAATAAGTGAAATCGGAAACATGCTGAAAGATTGTCCAAAGACAGTTATGATGAAGGGAATTACTTTCAGGTGAATTTGGATTTGTTAACTGGCTGAACCCAAAGAAGGCTCCTCTTAAATCCTGGGGAGAAGTGACCAGAAGGGTGCCACAGTTACTGTCTTGGGTCTATTAGATGTTAGATGATGAAATTGGGGACATGCTTATCAGATTTGCAGACAACACTAAATGGACACGATAGCAATGTTAAAAATTTGAAAAGATGACTTTTTCTGCTCTAGAGACTAAAAAACAGAGCAATGGATTCAAACTGCAAGGAAAGAGATTCCACCTAAACATTAAGAAAAATGTATTAATGGTAAGAGCTGTTTGGCAGTGCATTATGTTTCCTGGGAGTCTTTTGAAGTCTCCTTCTCTGGAGAATGGATAGCCATCTGTCTGGAGTGCTTTGTTTGTGTGTTCTTGCAAGAATAGAGTTGGACTGGATGACCTTCGAGGTCTCTTCCAACTCTGGGATTTTATGATTTTACAAACAGATGTACAGATTTTGTTTTTGGACTTTCCCTTGCTTTTCCTGCTTCAAAGTAATTTAAATTAAAGCAAGTAATTGGGAGGCAGCTGCCATTGCCTTCTCCATCTTTAAAGGCTCAGGAAAAACTTGGACCAGCATTTGCTATAAAGGTCCAGATTATATCCTGTTTCTAGGCAGGAGGATGCGGGATCAGGTAAGATATTGAGTCCCTTCCACCTACTCTAATTACATGATACCTTAATCCAGCAAGGAAAGCAAACCTCACTTTGGTCTCTCCAGTTTCCAATTTCAGGGTTTTGAGAGCAGTTCGGCATCTGTGGAAATGCATTTAAGCGGTGGGAACCAGAGAAATTGGATTTTCTTTCGGTTCCCTCCTGGAGGATGAAATGTTTGTCTCTCTCCGCTCAGACAATGTCTCTCTTTGTTCCAGGTATCTAAACCACGTCCGAGCCGCCTCCCCGCAGGATCTGGCTGGTGGCTACACTTCCTCCCTGGCCTGTCATCGAGCCCTTCAAGATGCCTTCAGCGGGCTGTTTTGGCATCCCGGCTAACTTGGGACTGAGCAACCCAGACCGGAGTGGAGCAAGCGAAGCAAAACCTCAGGTGAAAATTGCTGCCGTCTGCACTATGGCTGAGCTGCCGTCATCTTTCTATCTCCCCCCTTTTTTAAAAAAGTTGTGAAGCCAGCTGTGTTTAAGTATTAAAAAAAGACCTCACTGGACAGAAACGTGCTTTAAAAACAGTGGTTGTATGTGTGTGTGTGAGTCTTTGCGTGTGCTTTTTTCTTTTCAGGGTGGGAATGGGAAATGCTTGTAAGTCACTTTGCTGAGAGGCTAATGGAAGATGTGAATAATCATTTTGTTTGGTGTGTTTTGAGGTTTCAGAAACAGACTTATAAAAAGTTTTAAAATAGAGCCAGACTTTATTATTATTATTATTAAATTCTGCGGTTTCTAACCCCACTTCGGGGTTTTATTTGCACAAGCACTGAAATGCTATTTTGATTAAAGTTTTATGGTGCTACTCTGCCATAAGCACAAAGCCTTTCCTTCTCATAAAACCAGCTTCTCCTAATGCAAACAAATGGGTTTTCCTTCCTTGAAGCACGAGATGAAGGTGGGTGGTGGGCACACGGCTCTCCTAATTCATCCCACCTTGTGTTTCAAATGATGAATGCTAGACTGGGATGGAGAATGCACCAGTCTGTTGCCCTAAAGCAAACCCGTATAGCCAGGGCCCTAATATTTGAGCTTCTCTCTTTTTCCTGCATAGTCCTGTGGTTGTGTTCCTGTTACAGGTTGAGCATCCTTTATCCAAAATTCTGAATTCCATGGTACTCCAAAATGGTTGATAGTGGCACTTAGGTTTCTGGTGCCTCAGTGTACAACTGGCCCTCTACATTGGCAGGTTTGACTTTTGTGGATTATATTATTCAGTTTACATTATTCATGGATTTAATTAAAAAGTTCTTTCTAGGAATCTCTAGATCCTCCAGTGCAATTCTGTGGTGAACAGCAGTGGATAATTGCTGATAGCTCGCTGAAACTTTTGGAGTTGGTCCAAAGTATCTAGAACAGTGGTTCTCAATCCCCAGATATTTTGGTCTTCAACCCCCAGAAATCCTAACAGCTAGTAAACTGGTTGGGATTTATGGGAATTGTAGGCCAAAACTGGGGACGCACCAGTTAAGAACCACTGATCTGGAATATCAGACTTTGAGAACCACTGGTGTAATAAATTTGTTGTTAAATCCAGTGGCTTTTTTCAACTCCTAAAACCCTATTCATTTAGTGGCTCTATTCAGGTTAGGACAAATAATGTGATCTATGCTTGGTCTATAAGATACCACAAGACTTTGTATACCTGCTGAACGTGCAAACTGGAATTCAGTGGGATAATAAAGGGTAGTAAGTATACACTGAAATCCCCCACATCCTGAGTTATTTTTTAAAAAGTGTTATTCATACTCAAAGAAATGGAGTTTGTATCATCACATCAGGATTATACCATAAAGACTTTCCCAGGAAATAAGCTCAATGACAAGTTCCCTTCAATAACCAAAAGCACTACTGAGAAGTTTCTGCTTCTTTATCCAGCAGTGTTGGGTGAATAGTGATTGTGAAATAACCAGGTGGTACTTTGGCTTGCAGTCCAAACAGATGCATTCAGCCTCAGTAAGGTCTCTTACCTTTCCTGGAGGAGGCCTGTTTGAGTGAAGAGGTGGGATAAGAGAACCAAAACGATAGGTTCACAACACTGGTAAGGGCAGAGCTTGGTCCATTGCAGGGGTCACTGTATTAAGGGGTCATTTTGGGGGCACGGAAAGAGGCATTTCACCCTGTCCATCAACATAAACTCAAACACCAGGAGCAAAATTGGCAAGACTCTTCTCTACTTTAAACATAAGATGCTAGGCTAATGAGGCCAGCTGGTCCGATTAAAAACTAGCTGTAAATTAACTCAGGTCAGGTTATTCCTTTGCCATAGAAGCAATGACAAACCTTGCCAAGAAAACCCTATGATAGATGCCTTAGGACAGTGTTTCTCAACCTGGGGGGGGTCATGAGAGGGTGTCAGAGGGGTCACCAAAGACCATCAGAAACACAGTATTTTCTGTTGGTCATGGGGGTTCTGTGTGGAAATTTGGCCCAATTCTATCGTTTGTGGGGTTCAGAATGCTCTTTATTGTAGGTGAACTATAAATCCCAGCAACTACACCCAAATGTCAAGGTATATTTCCCCAAACTCCACCAGTGCTCACATTTGGGCACATTGAGTATACATGCCAAATTTGGTCCAGATCCATCATTGTTTGAGTCCACAGTGCTCTGGATGTAGATGAACTACAACTCCAAAACTCAAGGTCAATGCCCACCAAACCCTTCCAGTATTTTCACTTTGTCATAGGAGTTCAGAATGCTCTTTGATTGTAGGTGAACTATAAATCCCAGCAACAATAATACAGTACTGCAGGTATACCCCCCCCCCCCCCACACACACACACTAATGTTTCTCTTAGGTGGTACTTTGGCTTGTATTAGTATTGAGAATTTGCTGATAGTGGCAGTTACTTGTCATGACAATGAAATCAGAGAATAGGGAATCTGCTGTCATGTGGCTGTGCAGGATGTTCAGAACAAGTGGTTTAGCATATGTAATAAATTACACGAACGTAATTTAGCCAAATACACATTTCTTAAATACAAAATAAAGCAAATGAAGACTGAAAAACCAAAAGAAAACAGAGAGGCTTGTTGTTCCCAAATGCATACTCTGTGGAGTGTGATTTTGATTCATGGGATTGTGGGTAATTTTAACTCTGCATGAAAATGCTGATTCCTTTTGTGTTTGAATGTGAAGCTAGAGGTTACAAATCAGTGTACAGTATCGGATTCCTGTGGTTTTGCCATGTGCACAGATACTTTGCAGGCATTAGTCACAAGCCTCTGTGTGGTATCTGCATTTCTGGCATAGCTTAAGGAAGAGCCATCAGTGTCGCTTCTCCGGTTGCACTTCTGCCTTTCAGGGTGAGGCAGAGTCCACTCCTCTCGTCCCGCTGTGATCCATCCGGGGTGTGGGTGGGCAGGCCTTGCATCTGTTGAAGCTTTCTCATTTCTTGGAGGATCAATGACTGTGGCTATTAATATTACTTAGCACTTGGGTAAGTGTTTAGCAAAGCATTGCACGTTTGTTACGTCACAACCAACTGATGTGGGAGCTGTGATACGGCTGAGAGGATAGCTGTTTATTTAAATCTGCAGCATTCAAAGTGAGATGGTAGTTTTTACATCAAAATCTGTTTCTGGTCATCGATCCCAGCAGGAAGACTGAACTAGTGCTGCAGGCAGGAAACTAAATATATTTTGAAAGCTTGCAATTGAGACTGTTGTGCCCAGCAGGAAGCAAGGTTTCTGGTCAATGAGAACAAATCTTCTATCTCCACCACAAACCCTAGATGCGTAAGCAAGCCATATCTAGATAGAAAATGTAGGAAACATTGATGGATGAAAACTGAGAAAAGAAGAGGGTGATAACATAATTAAACTATGCTTGAATCACTTTTATCCTTGGAATCCGAATTCTGGGTTGCAAATTAATAACTGAAGTTAATTCGTCAACTTTTTTTTTAATCCCAGAGGACTTCTTGAGTACACTTCAGGTTCCAATAAATCCCCACATAAGAGGGAACTCTGGTTGAGAAACCTGAAGTAGAAAGTTGGTTGTATGATTTGCAGGAAATATCTTTTCTGCAAGACACCATTTTTATTAAAAGGGATGTAAAGAAATCAGGATATGAATGATAATAGATGAGGTTGTTGGAGGTAGATAACAGTTTCTGCTAGGGAGTGAAAAACAAGAACTGGGGCTGGCACATGTCTCAGAGGGGATGCCAACTACTGTTTAACACAGTGGTTCCCAACGTTCGTTTGACCAGGAACCATTTGACCAAGGTCACTCTCCAACATTAGTTTCAAAACAGTTACGAATTAAGTTTTTGGTCAACTTTAGATGCAGTTTGGTTATTTGGGGTGCTGATTCAGAAAACTGCATTGGATAGACCACATCAGCTCTAGTTTTATATTATATTATATTATACAATATAATACTAGTAATAATAATTCAATATTATAATTATAACTATATATTTACATTACATGTAATATTACTAATAATATTACAATATAATGGTATAGTGCAATATAGTAATATATACTGATATTGTACTATACTAATAATATAATATATTGTATGAAAATATATCTTGTAAGCCGCTCTGAGTCCCCTTCGGGTGAGAAGGGCAGCATTTAAATGCCGTAAATAAATAAATAAATAAATAAATAAATAAATAAATAAAATATAGTGATGGAAGTCTCTTCACACAATGGGTTTCTTGAAATCTGATTCAGATATTGAGCTTTTATTATTGTCATTTCCTTCCTTTGAGGCACTGAGTGTGTGACTCGGGGTTTCCAGAGCTAAACAGAAATTTGAACCCTGGTTTCCTGAATCACAGTCCAACACTTAAACCTCACAGGCTTTTGGAATTATTATATGGCAGTCTTATAGATCAATGCAGTATGGCTACAGAGTTTTGGGTTTTTTTTGTTTTTGTCTTGTTTTTGTTTTTTTGCAATATGCCTAGAAAATAATTCAGCTTCACAACCTCTGAGGATGCCTGCCATAGATGCAGGCGAAATGTCAGGAGAGACTGTTTCTAGAACATGGTCATACAGCCCAAAAGACCTACAACAACCCAATAATC